TTCTTAATATATTACGACTAAACTGATAGTGCTGGAGAAGCCTCCTATTTCGTGTGGAACTTGAAGAGTCACCGGAGCCCACACACTGCTGTGTAGACAACTGGAAAGAGCTGTCGCGAGGACCCCAATAGAAAGGAGGAAGCTTGAGCTTTGGGAGGCTAAATGTCACACCCATAGGGAACCAGTGCTGAAAATAGAAGGGAAGTTCTGACTGCCACAGCATCCCTCGCCGCAGCCTTTCCTGGGCTACCTCCAGAATATCTCAGTTTTCAGTCGACCCTTTTCTGGTACCAGGAAGCGCAGATGTGCACAAAAGCACATTTTAAATTGCCAGCATTTAGATTCATTTTTGTTTCTTTGACTCTCCAACATGGGTTCTTAGATTAGTAGTCCTCATTTCCAACCTGGTAATAAAAAGAGCTTCATCTTCTCTGGGTGAGCCAATTTTGAAATTTGGCTGATTCTTGCTACCAACAATGCAGCTGGGATGAACTTAGAATTTCAAATCCACGCTGCCACTCACTAACTGCGTGATGACTTTGTGCAAATAACCCAACGTTTGTCAAATACAATTTCCTCTCTACAGAATAAGGATAACACTAACCTGATATGGTTGTTTTTGTGATTTTACAGTAATGTTATCTCTTATGTGGGTTATTGCAACAGCCTCATATCTGGCCTCGGACATCCATCCTTGACCGCCTCTTATCTACTATCAACATGGCAACCAGAATGGCCCTGTTACCGGATAAGTTCTGTAATTCTTCTGCAAAATGCCCCCTCCCCAATGCCTTCTCACTGCTTTCCGTGTAGAAACCAAAGTTGTTCGCTGGCTTACACGATCTGCCACGTCCTCACTGCCTTCCTGACCTCCTCTGCCACCACTCTCATTCTGCTACCACAACTCTGGACACCTCACTGTCCTTCAAACATACCAGAGACACTCCTGCCTCAGGACATTTGCACTTCTGTTTCATCTGCTTGGAAATTCTTAAGTGTCCAAATAGAGTACTCTCTCATCTCCCTTTAGGTCTTTATTCAAAAGTTATCTTCTCAGCCAGGTTTTCCCTGGCTGCTCTATCGAAAGTTTCAACTCCTCTTCTCCTAATATTTCCTCTTGGTGCTTCATTTTTCTCCCTACCATGAACTAACATAGCCTACGTTTCCTTGTGTGTGTTACACTGTCTGTCTCTCCCAAGGTTAGCATTTTGTTTACTCACTAACAATGTGATTTTGTTGGGGGGAAACTCAAATTGACTGAACTAGACTTTATTCATCTATCCCCACGACAGTCCTACAGCAATGCCTGGCACATAGGAGTTTAATAAATGGTTGTTGAACAGATGGCTGAATCTCAAAAATTATGACCATTGAAACATGGAAAAGAAGGAGAAGAAGGAGAATGAAAAAAGAAAAAAAGGAAGATGTGGGGAAAGGAATGAAAAGAATCGTGTCAGAGACTCTCAGATTATAGTGATATGGAAAAAAGAGAACCAAGCAGCAAAATAAACAGAGGGAAAACTAGTGTATTATAACTGAAAAGCCCAGAAAAGAAACAAACAAAAAAAAAAGCACAGGAAGGAAGGGGTGTTTTTCACTGTTCACTCAGTATTCTCGTGATTCAGCTGCAGTTTTATCATGACTTGGGGCAGCACTAACCCCAGAACCATGGGGATCATCCTCTCTACTATAAACCATAAGTCAAACTGTTCCCTCAAAGTAGTCATGAACTTATGAGAGGCCTAAAGGGCACACAGTGACTGTAAGATGCCATTAACCATTAGACCTGTTAACGGCAAATGGCACCAGATGTTAGACCTCAGTCCTTGAGTTCGGCTAAGAAAGAATTCAGAGCCAAGAACCCAAATACATGCAAAAGTTTATTTGGAAAGTCACAGATGTAGAAGAAATGAGTCATAGAAGAAGCAAGCCCCCTGGGCTGTGTGGTCTCAGGAAACAAGTTGCAAAGGCAAAAGAAGGGCCCTTGGAGGTTAGGAGAAAGAAAGGCAAAGAAAAGGTACCTGGGGAAAGAAGAGGAGGGGGAAGGCACAGCACACTCCAGAGACAATATGCTTGGCGAAACAAGGAGTAGGGAAAGGCATGGGCATGAGAGAGAGAGAGAGAGAGAGGGAGAGAGAAACAAAATGTGTTTGGTCCTTTATCGTAACCATTTCCAAAGGCAGGGATTTTAGGGAAGGTCTCAGGGGAGGATCTCAACTGAATATTCATCAGCTTTCCATGTGTGTCCTTACAGGATCCTGGTCTCTAATGATTGGTTGGCACTAAGGTAGGGGATCATTAGTAATTGCAGCTGGTCCTGATGTCAGCCATACTATCAATTAGCCTGGTTTTGCCATTTCTCTGGGCCTGGAGCTGAAATGCAACTGAGGGCTGGATGTTATGCCTAGTTTGACCAAAACTCTCTCTGTTTTATCTGTTTTCCAAAGGTAGGGATTTTCAAGAGACCCGAAGCTTTGTTCTTAAGATTATTTGATGCCAGGGCCAGAGCCTCATGGCCCGGAGGGTTTAAGGCTTAAGGGAGAGGTCGTACAGGGCTTATATTCTCCTGTTTCCTCGCTCCTCCTCGTAAGGGGCCTACCACAGATCTAGAGACTTGCCAGGGAGAGGAAAAGTCAGAGGAGGGTCCAAACTGCATGACCAGTGATGTGAAGGGTCAGGGGGTCAAAACCACATGACATTTACATGCTAGGGCAGGAAAGGTTACCCTGGGGGCGAGGTCCCACCCTATAATACTTATTTTCCCAGTTTTGTCCTGGCTAGGCAACCAGGACTCTCTGCCATAGTGACCTTCTGTACCTGGCCTATTGTTCCCACTCTACACCTGTCTGTCTAACTACCTACTATATCAGACCTATCTATTCTTCATCACCACCTGTTTTCTTGGGAACCTCATTTGAATGTATATGTAATTCCGAGAACCATTCTGGGGCATGGACACCAGCTGGAATGTGATACTCCTCAATGCACACAAACACTTACATAGACAAATACACCTTCTTACTACACAGTTCATAGAGTCCCACTTTCTGCAATATAAAGACCAGAGAATTCTACATTCTTCTTACTTAGATCCCAATCAGTGGTACCCTCTGGGGCATCCATGCATGGGGTGCCCTCTAGGAAATCAGGAGAAACCTTTTCCATTTTGGTTTAGCCTCTATTTTGACTTTCACTTTTCCCCCTTGGAAGCCTTTTTTCTCTGGCACCCCAGCCTTGCAAGAGCTATTTTGAGTGTTAGGTAAGTTTTGCTCTGAGATGCCTTTAAATGCCTGAGGAAAACAGCGTTCACTTTGCAAACTTCTTGGGAATGCTATTTAGCTAGACCCTCTTCATCCCAAGGATTTAAAGCCTGATGGAAACTTTGGCTCATGAGTCAAAACAGCTCTCCAGAGCTAAAAGCTAACTGTATTTGCATAACACTTCAACAGATCCAAACAACAGAGAAAGGTCAAGTGAAATAAATTGTCAAGGTCGTGGTTCTCTTGAAGTGGCTGGCGTTGAAATTCAGAATTGCTGATGCCCAGTGCTTGCTTTGCCGCTACTCTCCTAAATGATACTGTGGCATAAAATTTACTGTATGTGTGAAAACCACAGACCTGCCCTTAAATTTCTCCTTTCCTTCTAATTCCAGGTCATGTAAATCATGGAGGAAAAGATCATAGCATAACCCACTGACCTCACTGTATTAGCATACAAATGAAAGAACTCACTAGACACGGCAATCTGGGGAACTCCTCCTGGTCTAAACCAGGAAACGCTGTTGACTGTGCTTGAAACTCTACAAGTATTTGGTGTCTCTTTAATTTCTTGATCAAATGATTGCTTTTAATTCACTGTTTTAATTCTGAGCATCTAAAATCATAGGGATCCTTAAAAACCGCAGAGGCCCACATGCTAGCGAGGAACTGAGGAGGTGAAATGTGTCAACGATTCTCGCTCTAATACCCTTAACTCAAAACAACTTTAAAGCGACACATGGGAAAGAAAGAAGTTCGTTCAAGTCACAGCCTCTTTGAATTTATCCCAGTGAACAACTGGATTTCAGATTCCTCGGGCGCAATTCCGAATTCAGAATTCGCCGCCGCTCGTAGTCCTCGCTCTCTGAGGTCGCAGGGAAAGTCGCACACTACGACTCCCAGCCTTTGAAGGGAGAGGACTTTTCCGGCGCGCAGGCAGCGCGGCCGGGGAATCTCACCACCAGTGGGCGTTTAGCGCAGCCAAGCGACTGGCTGGTGCCAGGGCTCAGCAACAGGGAGGCGCCGGCTGAGGCGGGGAGAACTTTGCGCTCCGAGCAGAACCACCCTTTGCTGTCCAGTCGCGTTGCTCCTCCGAGGAAGCAAGCGGCAGCGGCAACTGGGCGGGAAGAGGACAAAAGGAAGAGAGGAAGAAGCGAGAGAAGGAAAATGAAGCCAGAGCTGGTGGAGCCCGCGATGAGGTGGCCCGCGGTGGAGCAAGACGGATTTAGCTTCTTTTCCGCACCCCGGGCTTGAACGCCTTCTCCTGCGCGACCCCAAGGAAATAAGTGGGTCTCGCCTGGGTGGAAGAGGAAGAGAAAAGACTCCAAGTGAGCGCGTTGCCTTCGCGATCGCCGCTGCCCCCTAGGACTCCGGGGACTTGTCAGACCAGCCTCCCCGCGGGGCCAGACGCAGTGCCCGAGCAGCCCTGCAGATGGGGCAGATAGGGAACCGGCGCCCCAGCCGCGGGTGAGCGGCACCGGCCCGCCCGTCTGCCCGGCTCCGCTCAGGGACCGGGCGGGAAAAGGATGCGAGGCGCACGGACCCGGGAGCGGGATCTGAGACTGCCGAGGGCGCGCTAGGCTACCACTTGGATGGCCCCGAGACCGCTCCAGCTCCTGGGACCGCTTCACCGCGCCAAGTGAGCTGTGCGCTGGAACTAGGGGCGGAGACCTTAGGCGGCGGCTGCAGGGGGGGCGAGCCGGGCGCAGGAGGGGGCGCGCTTTCTCCCTGCGGGTCTCAGTAATGAGGAGACTGAGTTTGTGGTGGCTGCTGAGCAGGGTCTGTCTGCTGCTACCGCCGCCCTGCGCACTGGTGCTGGCCGGGGTGCCCGGCTCCTCCTCGCACCCGCAGCCCTGCCAGATCCTCAAGCGCATCGGGCACGCGGTGAGGGTCGGCGCGGTGCACTTGCAGCCCTGGACCACGGCCCCCCGCGCAGTCAGCCGCGCTCCGGACGGCAGCCGGGCAGGCGCCCCGCGGGATGAGCCCCAGCCAGGGACTTGGCGGCCCCCGGCGCCCTGGCCCGGCGTTCGCTGGTTGGGGAGCGCCTTGCATGGCCGGGGGCTGCCTGGTGCCCGGAAGCCCGGGGAGAGTGCCAGGGCGGAGACCCTGTGGCCTCGGGACGCCCTCCTCTTTGCCGTGGACAACCTGAACCGCGTGGAAGGGCTGCTGCCCTACAACCTGTCTTTAGAAGTAGTGATGGCCATCGAGGCGGGCCTGGGCGATCTGCCGCTCTTGCCCTTCTCCTCCCCTAGCTCGCCGTGGAGCAGTGACCCTTTCTCCTTTCTGCAGAGCGTGTGCCACACCGTGGTGGTGCAAGGGGTATCGGCGCTGCTCGCCTTCCCCCAGAGCCAAGGAGAAATGATGGAGCTCGACTTGGTCAGCTCCGTCCTGCACATTCCAGTGATCAGCATCGTGCGCCACGAGTTTCCACGGGAGAGTCAGGTGAGAGGACGCTGGCGCGTGGAGTGGAGATGGGCGCCGCTGGGGGCTGGTACCGCCGCGGAGGTTGGGTGTGGGGTGGGGGGGGCGGGTTAAGGCTAAAGGGACTTTGGGATTTACAACTTTGATACTGTTTAAAGATTGGACTATATCCGTAGGTGGTAGGTAGGAGTAAAATAAAAACATTTTAAGCGCGAATGGGAATAAAATGAGAGATAAGGGTAGCAGGTGGGAGGAAGGAAGGGAGAGGAAAAAAAATAATGTTTTAACTAACTGCGAGAAACCTAGTGGATGCCGGACGGAAGTAGAAGTCTAAATTCAAGATTTTGGAGAGCGATGGCGTTCTAGTGACTAGCGCCGGGTAGGGGGCGGGGGAGGGAGGGTGGGGGCGCGAACGGGAAGGGGAGGGATGGAGGATCCCTGACTGCGCGAGTTTCACTCCCTAGAGGAACTCGGAGAGCATGTGGCGGAGAGAACAGCATCTGCTCTCTGACTTCTTTAGAACATGTGCCTGAGCCATAGGCGATGGTGTAAGGAAAGAAGCACATCTCTCTGAATTCCTCTGAGTAAATAAGGAATCTGTAACTAGTACAGAAGCAATAGTTAAAGCAGAGCAGCTAATTAGGCTTCAGTATTAGAAGTAGTATGTGATCGCGTGCAAATGGATGGGATGAGTCATTTGGGATAATTTATTTGTGACTACCTTCTTTTTTATGTGATGGTGGGCTCAAAGACTGACAATATGCAGCAGTTGCTCTGTTCAGCCCATTTCTGCTCCAGTTTTCTAGAAATAAGGAAGAAGACTGTAGTGATTCAGTTTCCTATGGGTAAAAAAATCAAATATATTTTCAATAAAAGAAGCTATTTGTGAATTTAGTTGTTGACAGCAATGATGAGATACATATTTAAGGAGAGGGCGGGGTCTTTTAAACTGGATGTTTTCTGCATTTTGTACATTACTTTTATCAAAATATCAAGGTTCATTAAGCCTTTCACAAAGTACGATGAAACAAATAGGTTAATTGGTATTGGTCCCATTTTAAAGACTGAGAAACTAAGGAAAGTTCTGGGGCTTGATCAATGTTGGTCAGCGTACTAGTAGAAGAGTCCAGAGACTGGAGAATTTCTAACTCTATCCTTTTCACTAGAAAAAAAATAATTCTAATCCCTCTTCTTTCAACAAAAATATATATACATGAAAATGAGTAAGGGCAAATATCAAAAGTTTGCTTAAATCCATGCATAAAATGTCAAGAGAGTGCTAAAGATTTATTTTTCTAGAAAAATGAACCTTACATTTTTAATCTTACGAAGGGTGGGCACAAGCTACTTTCAGCAGTTGCCCAAAAGGTTCCTGTGTAATGCTGAACTGTAGAGATTTGATCTGCAGAGTGCAAGCTAATTAACTTTTATGTGAAATATTTCTGTCACCTGAATCTGAATGACTATAGACAGCAGATGGGAAGGCATGGAAAACACAGGTGCACAGTGCTGCCAATGACCAAAGTGTTATAAACATGAAATTGCATCCGTAGGGTACGTCATTATTAATATATATGCAGAATCAGATCTAATGAAATGCACGAGTCAGCATCACTTGCTTCTCTTCATTGCTTCTTTATTATCTAATATTTCATAAGCTGCCAATAGTGTCCACAGTCTCCAGACTCCTCTCCATTTGTAGATTGTTTGGCATGAGTCCTAAATAGCAAGAATCTCCCCTCAAATTAGCGTTCCTTGGTTAGAAGGAAAATTGTCTGTGTTCCCTGATGGATTTGTGTGATACACAGCAAGGGGACCAGAGCAGGCCATGAAGCAGCATCCAGCGTCAGCCTTCAAAGCTTTAGGACCCCTAGGGGAACAAAGTCCTCTAGGGACAATCCCTACAAGCAGACAATAAAACAAATACTCTGCAAAACACATTAACTTCTGTATTTGAATTCAGAAAGTTCCTTTAAATCACTGCTGTCACTGTTATTTTCATAGCACGCATCTTGAAAGGGAGAAATTATTATATTACTCAGATCTAGTTTGCCCCAACGGAGGACGTTTTCTTTCGTTTATCTCTGTATTTTAGATTCAAACATATCTAACTTGTCTTACTTTAATATATCATGTAAATGTCATTCTGTAATGTTGTATATTAAGAATGTCTAGCTCAAGGCCAAATCACTGTAATATATAATTTTAGGATCATGACCATAATCCGCTTTCAGCAAAAATAATAACTGATCTTGCTTCTCAAAAATAGACCTTTCTCTAATACATTGGTGTGATTTAAAAAAAAAAAAACACTATATATAAAAGACTGTTGAAGTCATTTTACACATTAAATAAAATTGACTTAATTTAGCCACTGTCCTTTTTAGAAGCTACTGCCCAGTGACCCGAATTGTTGATTGTGCCAGTGTCTAAAGAAAGGATTCTAGAAGAAAGTGGACTTGTCCACCCAACCAAGGAAAATAAAATTGTATCTCTTTTTCAGACAAATCAAAAGTGCTTTTAGAGAAGGAGCCCAATGGTGTTTTCTCTCCCACTCAAGCTGCTGGTTTCTCTCCTGTGAAGCCTTTAATTAATAAATAATGGTGTTTGTGCTATCCTGCCACAACTTCTGGATAGAAGGAGAAACCACTGGTGTGATAAAACTCCTGAGGAAAGCATAGTAGTTTTATTTCAATGTATTATTTACTCAAAACATAAACACAGATCATCAGCTTGGATGGAATCGACTTCCTTCAAGCAGGGAAATCCATTAAAAGTAAGATAGTTGACCACTCACTTTGGGAAACCATATGTGTGTTAGCACAATATAATAAAAGCTTAAAGCAGCATTACACATAGGTTAGGATCAAAGCACGTTTCCATCCAAAAAGTTCTGACGTTACTACCACACTCAAACCTCTGCTTAAGGATAATTTATGTTATTAGTTCTAAATTCTTTTCCCATGACCTTCAAATACTTATGTTGCCTGTAGGTCCAGTTATATTTACATGTAAGTTACACTGAGTTTCTATACTTGGTCTTTCTTTTTCTTCCCTCCCCATAGTATTTTTTCATGTAGTGGTTTTGTACAGTCTCTCCAAAGTTAACTTCTTAAAATTTACCTGCTGAGGTAGTGACAGATACTCATTTCTCTCTAAAATGTATATCTCCTGTTAATAACATGTTGGTTTCATTAGGCAGTTAATGGAGTAATATAATTGGCTTAGAGCCAAACTCATGCAATTAAAAAGTGACTACACTACTATTTTCAACTCTTGTTGGCTATACCATCCACAGTTTGTCTGTCTTGTGAGTCATATATACTAATTAACATATGTTTATTCTCATAGAAATGCAAGTGCTTTAGATGGTCCATTTTCTTGACGATACATGGCTAGGTACTGAAGGCTCTTTATTAGAATTCGGCTAACACAGCACCACTTTTGTATGGGACAGGGGACAGAACAACAATACCACTACATAACTTCAGTGCCTCGTGAGGGGATAAATAAAGGACATTTATTTTTAAAACATCTGCTCTCAATTGTGTTGGCTTTCCTTGACTTGCTCCATGCTAAGCACCGTTCTCTCACTGGAGGAAATGTATTCTGCAATTCATGATGAATGGCTGATAGTAGCACCTAATTATTGCTGACTTGAAGATAAACGATTGCAAATTAAATGTCAAGTGATGCGAAACTTTTCTTAGCAGTGATCTTTTACAGGATCCCCTTAAAGAACTGAGACCTGGGATTAATTTGGAAATTTTTATTGTTTAGGAATTGTTTTACAATATTAATTTATTTTTTCTAGACAAATAAAAAAGCAGAGACTAGCAGACACTATTCATTAGGCAATTAGTCCATCTCATCCACGTTTCTTTGTGCCTGCCACAGTGTAGTCACCTTGTTCTCTACCTACTCCCCCATTTTCTTTCTCTTAAAAAAAAAATAGATTCACACACACACACACTCCCCCAAATAAAGGGGGAAAAAAAAGAACTGAGTTCCTAAGTAGGTTGCATACTTGCCTAGGAATGGAAGGCATGCCATATTAGAAGCTTCAATACAATGCCCCGGGTTTTTCAGAAATGTTGGTCTCTCACATTGATCATAAGTTTCTCCCATAGACACACTCATAGTACAGCGTTCATGAGATTATGGCCACGTAGTTTAACCTCTCTCTCCACCCCCAGGCCACCCACTCTACCACTAAGCACACTGGCTCATTTGACATCATTTTCACAGTATGTCTTTCTTCATGAAGAAAGCAGTCTGTTGGTTCACACTGGCACAAGCTTCTTATCTCAACATGGAGAGAGAACAGCTTGCAAAGCAGCTACTTTGAGTACCATTGCCCTAGACAATTATATGGGGCTTCTCATATCATAGAGGCCCAACTTAATGTAGAGATGGGAATCTCATTGCCTTTTCTCCTGCCCACTCTAGCTACTCCCATTGATGTACACAGAAGAGTAGAGGAACCATACAGCACCAGAAACATGATGCCACTTCTCTAAAACTAGGCAAGGAAGAAAAAGAGTATCTTAGCATCTGCCACACTGCTTTCTAAGAGAATACACGAATAACAGACTAATGGAAACCGTTAAGCCACTCATTTGTGATTCTCAGATCTTTCCTTTATGGGATGGTGAGAGAAAAGAGCAATGGGGGGAAAAAAAGTAAGCAAGGAGTAAGCCAGCCATCTGCTGCCTCCCACCTCTTCCCCCAAGCTAACACCTCAGCCAGATGCTCAGATCTCCTTCTGAATGTGTAAGATTCAGACACTTTCAGGGGAGACTGTGTTTGATCTCCTGCATACAGGGAGCACGGAGCAGCCTGGGCTGGTATTAACCGTGACACTGAAACCCTAAGTATCTGGTTGGCCAGGATGGTCTACTGGTGGACATGAGCCTTCAAGGTTCAAGTGGTAAAGAATGAAGCAAAGTGACTTCTTTTTTAGTCAGGCTGAAATATGCCTCATAATTATTCATGTGAGATGTAGATATAGGAAAAAAACT